GCAAAAAGAATATAAACGCGGTTAGCCGGTTTGAAATGCAGGTAAAATCTACTCCTGAACGCAAGTTTGGTGCACTCAAAAAAAAAAAAAAAAAAAAAAAAAAGACTGTAAACTCAACTGCCTGTAAATGACTGTAAATGTATTTATTTATTCCAGGTACTTATATAGCGCCATCAATTTACGCAGCACTTTACATATATATTGTACATTCACATCAGTCCCTAACCCTCAAGGGGTGTACAATCTAAGGTCCCTAACCCTCAAGGGGTGTACAATCTAAGGTCCCTAACCCTCAAGGGGCGTACAATCTAAGGGCCCTAACCCTCAAGGGGCGTACAATCTAAGGTCCCTAACTTACATTCATACATACACATACTAGGGACAATTTAGACAGGAGCCAATTCACCTACCAGCATGTCTTTGGAGTGTGGGAGGAAACCGGGAGTACCCGAAGGAAACCTACACAGGCACAGGGAGACGGTGCAAACTCCAGGCAGGTGGTGCTGTGGTCGGGATTCGAACCAGCGACCCTAATACTGCCAGGCGGAAGTGTAAACGACAATGTGTACCCACATAGGAAAACATTAGGGAGTATTCAGGGGCTGCTGCTGAAAAAAAAAAAAATGCTGAACAGCTCCTGAACATCAGTTTAGCAGCTGCAGTGTACAAGAGCCCTTAAGCAGGTCATACATGGTTTGAATTCCGAATTATTTTTCGTCCAAAAATCGGAACAGTCGTTCACTCAGTAATCCGATGGCGCCATCATTGATTTTGAGAAATCTTCCGACCAAGTCATAAAGTTCACTCCATATAACAGGCAAAACTTCTGTTCCTTCCAGGTCACGGCTCATGTGCATATTCTTTTCAGAAAAACGATCGTACGATTTTAACCATCCAGTCAAAAATCGGTAGTTTTTCACAAATATGCCTGATCACCAAAAAGGGGAGGAACCACGAAAATAGGCCGGTGCCATTGACCCACTAACAGAGCAAAAATTTGTCCGATTATTCTTAGGTCTGATTTTCGGATGAAAAATCGGTCAATTTTTGACCCATGTATGGCCGGCCTTAGAGTGCAAGAAGTGATCAGATACCATTGAGTCGAAAATCGGTTTATCGGTCTTTCATGACTTTACCAATATGCCTGATCACCGAAAAGGGGAGGAACCATGAAAATCGGCCGGGTGCCATTGACCCTCTAACAGAGCAAAAATAGGCTGATTATGCTTAGGTCCGATTTTCGGGCAAAAAAAAATCAGTCGATTTTCGACCCATGTATGGCTGGCCTTAGAGTGCAAGAAGTTATCAGACACCATAGAGTCAAAAATTGGTCGTTTTTCATGACTTTTCCAACATGCCTGATCACCGAAAAAGAGGAGGAACCACGAAAAGAGTGCAAGAAGTTATCAGATTCTGGCAGAACTTAGGGCTCGTTCACACTTGACTTTTTTTTTTCCAACTCTTGCCAAACGCCCCTATAGCAATTGACAAGCGTTGCTCCGGCATTCACGGAGCGTTTTTAACGCTCCGCAGACGCTCCAGAAAATGCCGTATGCACGGTTTAGTGGCGGTTGGTAGGCGTTTGCCAAGCGTTAAAAACACCCCACAAACACCTATAATGAAGTTTGAATGGTGTTAACGCTCCGCAAATGCCTAGAATGACATTTGAATAGTGTTATCTCTCTGCAAACGCTTCGCAATGGCACCGCAAACACTGGCCAGGCGTTTGCGGAGAGGCACCATAGACTTGAATAGGAGGCTTCAACTCCTCCTGACTCGACCAGAGGCATCCGTTTTGCCGCGACGCTAACGCTCCCGTGTGCTGCAATGTGCAGAATTTTCCGAGGCATTTGGAAAGCGGTAAATACAGCTAGTGTGAACATAGCCTAACAGTTACTTATTCATTTTAATGCATCTGCTGCACACCTCTAAATAAAAAAAAACTAAACAAAAAACAAAACAAAAAACACACCACACTTAACAAGTACTTATTAAACCAATATAACAAAACGCTTCCAATGGTTAACAGATTAAAAGGAACCACAGAAAAGAAATTCATTTTTGGGGCCTACGTACCCTTTAACTGCCACTTGAAGCTTGAGGAGTCAGGAGAAGCACCTGAAATAACTAGGCTCAATCCACTAAGCAATACCGATCGTTACTTTCCATGGGGTCTTCATCAGGAATGAGATCTCAAAGCAAGAGGCTCAAGGCTGAGAAGGACCATAGTTGTGGCCAATAGCAGGTCTTCTAGCTCATAGGTATAGTGAATTGAGCCTATTTTTAAAGTCTTGCCATCGATGATAAAGAGACCATTCTTGATCTTCAGTGTAGGTCCAGATATTTGGGTGAATTACCAGTTAATGGACGATCGTACCATTCATGGATGGGTATCTTGTCTGTGCTTGGTAAATCGTCCGATGGTCACGCCAGCCATGCCTCAATACACTTGCATACGTAATTCACCTCGTTCCTGGAAAATTCTGCTGGGAAATTTTTTTTATCCAGATTGGACTGACGCAGAGAAGGATTTAGGAAGCTGACGGAGAAGTTGCTGCCGAATATTACTACACTGAATGTAAAGGATACCACGCTCGCAGGGCTGCCAAGCTGCAATAGGAGCCGGGAAGAGGCCGGTGTAACCCAACTCTGTAATGTGATTCGGGTTTACAGATACCAATACCGCGGTGGGAAAGCGAGCGACTTCCTGAAGGACACCGGCCTGCTATTTTGGTGGCAGGGTCGGCATGTGCTACAAGACGTTCCTGCGACCCGCGCCCCGTCTGCGAGATCCTGGAGCTTAAAGGAGACCCTGATCCAGACCATTCATATCAATAGTGACCTTACAGAAATGTATAAGATGAAGAACATCGCGTGGAAACTGCTGACGTCTTCAACGTATTTGAACATGCAATCGTCAGGTTTTATGTAAACAGCGCCTACAGATAAAGGTGATATACCTGAATAAGAACACAAGAATTTATTTTTTGCTTTTTCAATCATTTATTCAACATAAGTATCAATAGATGTAATGTGTACTGGGGAAATGAAGTACTCCTTTAGCATCAAGAGCTGGTGGTAGAAATTGCTTCTTGTAGGGATTTTATATGAGGGCTATACCAAAAGTAACGCGAAAGTGGCCAGAATTGTTTTTTTTAATAACTTACAGAAGTTGAACAAAATTTCACATTTGTAAGTAACTGTCTAAAGTAATGGTCTCCAAATTGCAGGAGACAGGTGTGGCCCTTCATTTGATTTTATCTGACCCTTGGGGCAATATTCCCCTGTCAGCTACAGAGGGGCATAGTTCCGGCCACTGACACAAAGAATGGAACACTACTGCTCTCACTAATACCAACAATGGAACACTATTCCTTCCACTGACACCAATAATAGGGGGACTATTCATCCCACTGACACCAATAATAGGGGTACCATTCCTGCCACTGACACCAATGATAGGGGCACTATTCCTCCCACTGACAACAAGGATGAGGCACTATTCCTCCCACTGATATCAATGATGGGGCACAATTCCTCCTACCAACGCCAATGATGGGGCACTATTCCTCCCACTGACACCAATAATAGGGGGACTATTCATCCCACTGACACCAATAATAGGGGTACCATTCCTGCCACTGACACTAATGATAGGGGCACCATTCCTCCCACTGACACCAATGATGGGGCACTATTCCTCCCACTGACACCAATGATGGGGCACTATTCCTCCCACTGACACCAATGATGGGGCACTATTCCTCCCACTGACACCAATGATGGGGCACTATTCCTCCCACTGACACCAATGATGGGGCACTATTCCTCCCACTGACACCAATGATGGGGCACTATTCCTCCCACTGACACCAATGATGGGGCACTATTCCTCCCACTGACACCAATGATGGGGCACTATTCCTCCCACTGACACCAATGATGGGGCACTATTCCTCCCATTGATACCAATGATGGGGCACTATTCCTCCCACTGATACCAATGATGGGGCACTATTCCTCCCACTGATACCAATGATGGGGCACTATTCCTCCCACTGATGCCAACGATTGGGGCACTATTCCTCCCATTGATATCAATGATGGGGCATTATTCCTCCCACTGATGCCAACGATTGGGGCATTGTTTACTTCCACTGACACCAGGACACTTTCTTCTCCCACTGGACACAACCCACCCCCCCCCCAAAGTTTGAAGGACCGTAAACTGGACCTCTATTTAGAAAGTTTGGAGAACCCTGCTCTATAGTAACTTTCTTCTTGGTTTTCACTGCAAGTATATAATTGATTCCAAGCAGATGCAACACGCTGTCTTGGAGTTCTTGATGAACAAAGGTTGCAGGCTGTCCAACATGCACAGAAGGCAACAGAATCTTTATGGCAATGACACCATTTACAAGAACTGTGTCTTGTCATTGGCGACTCTTGTCAGTGGTGTCATATCTGTAGCCTTCTGTAGATACTGGACTGCCTGCATCCCGCCTTGGTCAAGAACTCAATGATGGCATGTTCCTTCTGTTTGGGATCATTACTTATATTGTAAAGCGCTGAGCAAACTGTTGGCGCTATATAAATCCTGTATAATAATACCTGCAATAAAAAAAATCCTCTGCATTGTGCAAAAATGCAGTTTGAGCCTGTCTTCTTTGATCCTCCCCTTCTTCCAGTGTCCCACTCTTAGCTCCTGATAAGGCATATGAAGCAGAGGCACTCTGTACATGCTCAGTGCAGTGTGTATTGCTAGAAGTTTTCTTTTTTTTCTTGGGAGAGTGCATGTGGTCAGCACAGGGCCAATCAGCACTGTCCAGAGGTCAGGGATTCTGCATCCTCCCAGAGCAGAAAGAAAACTTCTACATGCTTTTAACCAGTGCTCTGCTGGACACTGATAGAAGTCACAAGACTACTATATACTGTGGATGAGAAAAGGTATTTAGCAGTTTATATGTACTAAAATAATTGCATTTCCATGTTCTGAGTACTGTGGGAGACCAGATATAGTGAATGCGGGGCCCGGGGAGAGCGGATAGAGTGAATGCGGTGCCCGGGGAGAGCGTAGAGAGTGAATGCGGTGCCCGGGGAGAGCGGAGAGAGTGAATGCGGTGCCCGGGGAGAGCGGAGAGAGTGAATGCGGTGCCCGGGGAGAGCGGAGAGAGTGAATGCGGGGCCCAGGTTTTAGTAACCCTTTATTGTATTTTAGGCAGGCCATTTACCTACAACAGGTACAGCTGTTTTGCTCCTCCCACACCTATGATCAGGTTATGTACAGCACAATGATGATATCATCATTGTGCTGTACAATGATGATAATGTCACCGCTACTTTTACAAGATAATATCTGGCTTTGCAAATGCATTTGGCACACACAGAATGGATGCCTTTGTGACTGTTACGGAATACAACTGAAAAAGGTTTCTGTGCCTGTAGCTCAGTTTTAAATATTATCTTGTTCTTTGATAAGCAGACGGGACAGGCTGTGCCCTCTATGCAAAGTCCTCTCCTGTTCATCCCGATTTCATAACCCTGTCCTATCACAGGCCTCCTCTGCCCGGATCATCTGATTGAAGCGAGTTATGAGACTCATTCCTCCGTCTACCATTACACACAGGAGCTATGAATGGCAGCCAGCTTTCCCCGTATATCGCCATCCAGATATTTGTAGGATGAAGTTGCACGGGGTATGGGACATGCAGAGCAGCTCATAGCTGGAATGGTATGGGCCCTACCCAGGAATCTGTGTCCTCTCTGCTAGTAAATACAACTGATGACCGGGGGGGGGGGGGGGGGGGTCAGCAACCATGCGTTTATTTTTCTTTTTTGCGTTTTTACCATGTTTGCGGATTGCTCTTCAGGGGGAGCAGCATGTAGGAACGAGCCCTTAATTTTCATGTGACTTTTACATACTACTGTTCCCAAAATGCTTGCCTTTAATAATGTTAAATTTAGAGATTTGCCCCCTGGTGGTTGTGTAAGTGACACAGTGCAGTCAGTAGTCCTGCTAGACACTGCTGAGATAAAATCACTTGGCCATGCACATAGGATTTCTTAAAACAAAAAAAAAAAAAAACCCACAACAACAAACACACTTCCATCCATACCAACAGCACAGATGGAAGAATCTTCCCTTCAGGACTCTATTTCTGACAACTACACCACCCGTGGCTGTCAGAACACCCAGACTGTGCCAGCAGCGGATTGGATGTGGACACTATTTCGGCTGCCAAATTTCCAACAGGCTCCTTTGAGAAAAGTCAACTGACCAATCTTCTTGGGTTGAATAGAGAGGCGAGGGCAGGGCCATACGCTGCTTAGATTCATTCATTGCAGCAGGAACCTCCCCAAAACTAGAGCCAGCTTTAGTCATAACCCTTTGGACTTCAATAATGATGCCTGAATAAAGATGGCGCCATCCATCTGGAGAGAAGAACAGATGAGCGCATTGTCAGAGGAGTCCTGTGATCCCTGTAAGAGGTAATAAATACCTGGAAGTGTTAAGCCGGCCACTGATGGATGGAATCTCGGCTGGTTCAGCAGGGACTGTCCAAGATTCAGTCCCTCTATGGGCAGGCTGCTTGTACCAAAGTCGATTCGTTAGTTGATCTCATTACAACCAGCCTGTCAGATTTTTCTCGCATGCAGTCACTGCAGGAGGCAATAGCTGCTAGCCGTAATCATTGTGTTCTGACAGCCGTGAAGGTTCACAGCCGGCAGAACACAGTAGCACTGCGGGAGGGATTGCCCCAGCAACACTGACCGCATGATTTTCTTTTCTGCAAGAAAAAAAAAAAAAAAAAAAAAAAACGGCACCATCTATGACTTGCTTTACATCTGGTGACAGGTCCACTTTAAGCCGCTCATCACATGACTTCCATATCAATCGAACACAAACCTATACAAAGCCTATAGATTGCGTAGTCCGCCTTCACCTTTCTGAATTGTCTTTTCCAGCAATATTTTCTGGCAATTACAGCCAGTCTGTTTCACCTTTCCTCAAGGGCAGCGAGATCTTTCCTTAGATAGGAAACAATGGAAACTCATGTGACATCCCCCACTCTGTTATGAGCCAGCATAGACTCTCCTTCCGGAAATGTACAACCACCTTCCTTGGATCCTGCCTCGCACTCTTAAAGGGTTTGTAGACCCCAATGAACCTCTACATTCCTCCATTCAGGATTGTTAAATATATAATTGAAAGGGTTTTGTTATCAGTTTAATGAATGGAAAAAAAAAAAAAAAAAAAAAAAAAAAAAGCCTGCTGGTGCTGCCAGAAATTTTGCTTTTGAATTTAAGGTTACACAATATGCAAATCTTGACTTGGAGCTAAAAAGTCAGGGCTGTTGCATACGCCCTCCTGCCCCCACACCTTGCTATTGGTAAGTCAAGCTGTCCATCACATCAAGGATGGAAGGAGGAAATCCATAGCTCCAAAATTAGAGCTTTAGGCTCCTGTGCACAGGGAGCAATCTGTAGTGCACCCCAGGGCTCCTGAAATACAAAGTTCGTTCTCAACCACTGGGCCAAGGTTCGCTGTCAGGCCACAGCCTCCATCCTTCTGGGACTCCTGCCAGCTGCAGATCCCCCAACTTCCCACAATTGCCTCCTAGCTCACATAGGCCACTCAACCTCCTTCAGCGGCCCACAGTGCCCTCAATCTCCACCCCCAGACCTCACACCACCACCCAACCATCCAGTATCAACCAGCACCCTGAACTGCCCACCAATTTGCTGCAGAGCCTCCATTTCCCACCACCCCATAGTGTCCACAACTAACAACCGTGTCACTCAGCCCCTGAAGAGCCCGACAGTTTCTCATAGTGCCCTTGCAAAGCCCCCAGCCTCTTGGAGAGACCCCCATCCCCCACAGTGGCTCCCAGCTCCCTCTAGAAATCTCATCCCACTACAGGGCCACCAAGTCTGCTGCAGAGTCCCAAAACGACCTTCAGAACCCCCAATACCTTCACAAACACACCCAGCCCCATCCAGAATTTAAAACCATCTTCTATTCCCATAGCTTTATTGTGAGTGTATATTAACTTTTCTTTTTATCTATTGGGGCTCAGAAGGTTTTAGATGCATTTAGAGGCCCCTGGTTCCAATCAGGTTGAGATCCACTGGTCTAGAATAACATGGAGGAAGATACACACACACACACACATATACATATACACATATACATATACATATATACACACACACACACACACACACACACACACACACACACACACACACACGTTAGGCTGGATATACACTTGATTTTTTTTTTTTCCCCCCCCCATGCCAGTGGACAACATGTTAGGCTGCAGACTATTCCACATGCCTCTGCTGATTTTTTTTTCTTTGCCCCCCACAACAGCTTTAAATTCATCTAGTGGGTTGAACACAAAAAACAAACAAAACAAAAAAGAAAACAACTCAAACCCCAGCATCTACACAAGTGTTGTGGATTGAGGAATCTCCCCTGCAGCACTATTGTACTCTGACATCTGCCCCCCCATTCCGTCAGAATACACAGATTATTGGCTGACTGAATGCTGATTTTCCAGCAGGACTTGTAGAACACAGAGGGCTATACACACACTTTACATGGGTGGCAGCAGTTTAAAGATGAACTCTGGAAATTAAACCAAAAAGAAAAAAAAACTCCTGAAGTCTCCCCCCCCGCAAAGCGAGGGTTAAATGCTTGTCATTTCTAGGGGGTACAAAAATACACTCTAATGGTAACCTTACTCCTCGCTCCAGCAGGCTCCACCCACCTAAGACAGGTCCCGCAAAGCCTTCTCTAAGGCGCTGATGTCATCAAGTACAATGCAGGACCAACAGTCCTGCATCGTACACAAGGCTGGTGGGGGCCCGCCTACAACCAGAAATGTCAGAGATACAAAGAGTGCCAACACCTGCTGACAAGTATTACAGCTTACACCTAGATTGTAAGCTCCCAGGATCAGGGCCCTCCTATCCCTCTTGTATTGTTGCTGTATTGTCTCCCGTTATTTTGTAAAGCGCTGAGCAAACTGTTGGCGCCATATAAATCCTGTATAATATATAAATCCTGTATAATAATAATATTCCTCTACCCCATAGACTTATTGAGGATTTACCCTTGGGGGGGGGGGGGGGGGGAAGCACTGCAAAGGTAGTGGTTTTGTAGTTCAGCTTTAAAGTATCACTGAAGTCGAAACACGAAAAAGAAAGTTTGGTTTGGGTTTTAGTTATATTTTATTGGTCTTAGTCACAGGTGCACTTTAAACTGGCAGCAAACACAAATCAGACCAGCATTGTGGTAAGACAATTTGCAACAGTAGGATTTGCCAGATGGTAGCGAGACGCAGCGGAGGACGCTCAACAATAAATACAGCCACCTACTTTCCATAATTGCCGGCTTCCTGGTGCTGTTGAAATGCTGACATGCATACCATCCCAATCCAATAGAGTGAACATGAATATATATATATTATTATACATTATACGTACACACATATATACGTACATACACATACACACATACACACATACAAGCATACTGCTCCAAAAAAATTAAAGGCAGACTTTTTAATCAGAGTAAAGCATCAGGTTAATGAATCTCCTGGGATATTGATCTGGTCAGTTAAGTAGCAGAGGGGGTTGGTAATCAGTTTCAGCTGCTTTGGTGGTAATGAAATTAAAACCAGGTGCACTAGATGGGCAACAATGAGACAACCCCCAAAACAGGAATGGTTTTACAGGTGGTGGCCACTGACATTTTTTTCCATACTCATCTTTTCTGACTGTTCCTCACTAGTTTTGCATTTGGCTAGGGTCGGTGTCACTACTGGTAGCATGAGGCCATACCTGGACCCTACAGAGGTTGCACAGGCAGTCCAACTCCTCCAGGATGGCACATCAATACAAGCCTGTGACGGAGAGCAGAAATATTTTATTTTTGTGTTTTGTTGAACTCCATGTGTGTCAAGAACTCGGTGTGTCTGCTTAACTAAATCTAGGAGTTCCTGTATCCTGCAGGGGGTGGGAGATGAGGTTGATCTCAGCAGGAGGCACAGACAGCAAGGTGTCCTGCAGATGGAAAAAGCCAGACGTGTCGGTACCGGGCGTTTGAGGTTTGGTTGAATTGAAGGGACAATATATTTTCCATATGGTGGCAGAAAGGCTCAGACCTCTTTCTGAGTGTACGG